GCGTTTTCAGTCCAGAAACTGTTTCATCTTACCAAAAGTCAGTCTCAGAGTTAGGCCAGCCAACCTGGTACAGCCTCAGCCTTCATCCACTCCAAGCCTTGTTGTATGTTAGGCATAGACAACCCAAAAATCTTTGGAAACCACGCCACTGTATCAAAGCATTGGCTGTATGCATAGAAAGCAGCTCATCACTTGATCCTTCCTCTCTGGAGAGGGATTGTTCAGACTTGAACCAAAGCACGTTTCGTTAATAAACACCAATTTCCGTCTATCATCAAGCACACAGGGCTATTTTCTACTCTTTTCTAAATTAAAAATCCACACTGAAGCCTCTGAAGAGATGAAGATCAGAACAGGCTCAATTTTCCATGCAAATAATTTGCCTCTGATCTTGACCCAGGATTTTCATAACAATTAGAGACAGCGTGGGGCTCCTGTGGCTCTGAACTGCTCTGTGGTACCCAGCTGTCCCTCTCCCTCGCCCCGGTGGTGTTCCTTTCATGCCTGCTTGTGAGGGGATATGTGCACCTGAGACATTTTCCTCCACTGACTTAAAAGTTATGGCCCTTCAACAGCATTTATTTCTGTCCCCCCCTTTTCTGTTTTTTTTCCACGTTTGATCCCATTCGCCGAACACTGACGGGAGCCAGATGAAAAGATTCCAACCTTTCAGTATCTGTACTGGGTATCAGCCTGGATTTATAAATGTGTTTTTGAGTGATTGTGTTTGCTTAATGCTGTGTGAGCATGCCTGTGCAGCTTCCATGCATCTCTAGTAACACCATCATCAAACATTAAAAAAAAAAAAACCAACACACCACCATCCCCTTGGATTCAAGACGCTGTGTGAGCATGCCTGTGCAGCTTCCACGCATCTCTAGTAACACCATCATCAAGCATTAAAAAAAAAAAACAAACAACACACCACCATCCCCTTGGATTCAAGAGGCTGACTTTAAGAGGAGTTATTTTTTCCTGTTTGATTTGTATTTCTCATGGTTTTCTGTGATGCAGCTTGCTGTAATATGATTTCCATTTGTTTTCTTTGGTGTGAAAGTATCCGAAAAACTTACCAGCTACCTTAATGAGAAAATCTTAACCACATGCTTGCAGATATCTTTTAATAGAAATTAAATTCTGTTTGCACCCATGTAAATTTTCCATGTAGAAAAGTTCTGAGATCTGGGAAGGGAAGTTGTGCTTGAGATGGGCAAAATATCTCACTGGGTTTTTATAAGTTGTGGGACTGGAGTGACCGTTGTGATGTTTGAAGCAAAACCCTGCATGAGCTGAACCACTGAATTTGCTTGAAATAATCCTTGCTGGAACTGGTGAACAGATTTTTAGAAGAACACCTGATCTTGATTCATAAGACACTAGTGATAGAGCTAGTTCTCTGGTTCATTATTTTTCACGTAGAAACATGCATATTGCATTCATTGTGAATATTTCAGCCTCCAATTTCAGCTTAGTTATCTGCAAGATAGTTCTTTAGCTGACCTTCTGCGATCCCAGCCCTTGGGAGCAAGCTGACCCCATCACCTCGGGCTAAGCTTGCTTTGTGTACAGCCACACAGACACTCCTACAGCGACTTCTCTGAGCTGACTGAAAGGAGCAGCTTCTGGCTTTCATTCTGTAAGGAGGCAATGTGTATGAGGTATTTCAGTTGTTCTTAATTAGCCAAGTGAATGACAGAGAGGTACTCTGACCAGCTTTCTTTGAAGTTCATAAAGCTTCTTTTATTTTAGAAAAAAAAAAAAATAAATTTAAAGACAAAGACCACTGTAGCTTTCCAATTACTTTTATTTTAGAAAAAAAAAAAAAATTAAAGACAAAGACCACTGTAGCTTTCCAAGCTTGACTTCCTCTTAAATACATACCTTTATTTTTGTTGTGTTTTGCAGCCAGTAAGCACTGCCTTGCCTCCCCTAATAAAAAGAACTTTATTCTGCTAAGATCTTTCTCCTATGCAGTAGTAATGCTCTACGTGAACCTGTTGATTGGGAGAGGAGACAGGCCAAACCCTCTCCCCCACACTTTTGCTTCTGTTCCCGTCAGAATGGTTCCCTCACTCTGGAATTGCTCAAAGAAGGCAGCTAGCAGGATAGAGTTAATGGTCTCTGCAGCCCACTTACAAATAAGTTGAACGTGTGTAGAGTTACGAATTGCCAACATCAGGAAGTAATTCCGCTTGCTTTGATTTCTCTGAGTCATACATAGAAGAGGAATTTACTCTGCTCTGCTCATCACTGCAGAGGCGTCTTTTCCTCGAACAAGGAAAGAAAAGCAAATTATAATTTGATGGGAGAATAGCTTGTCCTTCTGATGTCTTCCATACAGCCGGACTGCGTCTTTGTCTCACCATCTACTCCCTTGGTGATGGGATAAGGGAAACAATACGTGTGCGGAGAGGAGATTCCTCTGTAGTGGAGAAGAGCTGTAAAGACAAAGTGCTGCAGAGACTTAACAGAAGCCATTTAATATTGTTTCCACTTCATTTGTCTCTCTGAAACAATGATCAAAAAGAGTTATTTACCTGCCCTCCTCTCCAGCAGGGTCTCACTACTCCCTCTCCTACTATCTACAGTTACACATGCCTTGTAAGCGATAGGTAAGTGGAGAGATATACAGGCTGGCTTGAAATAAGCTGGCTCAGGCTCTGAAAGTCTCCTCGCTAGTCTGGACTTTGATGGTTAGATTCTGTGTCACCTACAAATATAAATCTAGAATAGCTTTACTGGAGTGAAAGGAGTCACGTTGCTGTGCATCTTTTATCTACCATTTGTGCTGCTGATGGAACTCCACCTGCACTTTTGTAGCTTCTCCTTGTTTACAGACACCTTTCTAAATTTCTATTGCTGTTTTAGGTTCTCAAGTAGACATACTAGTTAAAAATGTGAGTTATGGCTAAGAAGAAAAGGTAATGTTATTTAAAACAAATGTGTGCACCTGGGGCAGTCCAGTCATTTCTTATCTTGTCACACCTCATCTACAAAACCTGGGAGAAACTCATTTTTCAGCATTGCTTTCATAACATGTTCTCCAAGCTCTGTCCTGTGTTCTAAACTGGCACCTTTGTCACCTTCCCCCAAAGCAGGCAACCCCAACGAGGTGAGGTTCTCCTGGAGGCTCTGATGGGAGCGTTGGTGAAAGCTGTTCCTCTGCTTCTGGCTTGTGCCGTGGGTGGCACTCTCAGGGGTCCGGGCTGCCCTGGAACTCTGAGTGTGGCTGTCAGGGCTCAGCTCATCCCAGGGCATCGCAGGGTCCTGCTCAGCCCATGCTGCTCCCCCAGCGCCTGCACCACGCTGTTGACAGAGAGGAACACACGTTAGAGCTTGGATTTGCACACAGCAGAGCCCTCCACTTGCAGGCCAAAGATACAAGTTCTCCACGTCTTAGCCCTCGGCGAACAGCTCATTGTCTAGGAAGCCTCACCCTGCCAAACGTTCACCTCCTTACTTGTTGGACAGATCGCTGGCTGCTCTCCATCTTCCTTTTTCTTGGACATTGCTGGATTCCAGTGACACACCAGGCTGTCATTTTGGATGCTGTAGTTCTTGTTACCAAGAAGCCAGTAGGTTTTCATTTTCCCTTTGCCCTGGGGCAAGAAAAGGAGAGAGCAGAAAACAGGCATTTTCATGGGGTATGAAGCAGAGAATCACTATAGCCAGTGCTAGTACTTGTACTGCATTTGTTATCTCTCCTTCTCTCATAAGTAGTTGCCGTTTTGGGAAAACGTTGCAATTTATATACAGCTTGGGTGCTAATAAATTTTGTTACTTCAGAAAAAGACCTTGCTGGTCACTGGCAGTATGGTAAAGGGTTTAAAATCAGCCTTGCGCCCGTGTGTCTTTGTAACCGAGTCCCAACACTTTCACCCATCTTCATGTGTTTCCATGCGGTTACAGACTGAGCAGCTGTATTTCAAAGCACGCAGTAACACTTCTGCGTCGATGAGGAGTAATATATAGCCACTTTCACCTGAACTAGCAAAAAAACCTTGTGGCCCCAGTTAAAAATTGACTTGCAATTCATGGAAGAGCAATGGCCAAATCTATCATATCTCCTTCCTATCTCATTAAACTCCTTTACTGTTGCAAAGCTACAGAAAAGCTGTTACCTTGACTTCAATTTCGCCTCTGGGTTCAATTTCATATGCATCATCGGAGGGCATCGTATGTAGCAGAACTGATATGGATCTTCTGCGCTGGGATTCAGAACAGAGCATTAGAAATGAATGATTCGCCTCTTCCCAGAGACCACGCGCCAGCCCTCCTGCATTTATCAGCCCAGTGTTTCCTCTTCAGAAAATGTCAGGTTGGGGAAGAAGCACAAAGAAGGGGACGATTCCTTAAACATTGGCTGAGGACTCTGTGACACTGTACGCGGCCGTCGGCTAGAACACAGCAGCAGCGCAGCAGGCTGCCTGACCCACTGACGCGACTGTGCAGTGCTGCTCTGGGTATCTCTCAGCACTGTACAGCAGTTAATAGGTGGTGTTGGCAGCAAAAGCAGCATGAAAGGCTGGACAAGAAAACATGCCCCTCCCTCTTCTCCACAACCATGGTGTTTCTACCTAATGCCTTTGTGTTAAAGTCCTTAAAATCAAACCTGGCTTAGCTTGTGCCATTTGGCTTTTGCCACCCTCTATCTCCTCTTATTTCCAATCCCTTTTCAGAAATGGCGTAAGGGATGTGACTCTGCCCATGTGGATACACAAGAGTTTATCTTGCTCATTTCAGAACTAACATATGTACAGGGATAGCGGGGACTGCAGGTCATGCATGTGCTGGTTCATTAGATCTATGGTAAGCAGATCTCTAGCCTGGGATATGCTGCAGAGAATGCTCCTTCTCCTGAATGAACCTTATTTCACACCTGGCCATGCCCAGTGTGAGGGGGTGTGTTAGGGGTTTTTCTTTCACTGCAGTACGTAAAAGGTGCACAGTGCAGGTGTGAGCCTGAGCAGTGTGTAAGGAATGCACAGACTGTGCTCACGTCACTTACGCAAGCCGGTGGACTCCATGCGGGAGGCTGTGTTTACAGTGTCCCCAAAAAGGCAATAACGAGGCATTTTGTACCCCACGACTCCAGCTACACAGGGTCCTGAGAAAATACAAAGCAGACAAGCCCTGATAATAAACAAGTGGAAAAAGTGCAGGGAGATGCCAAATGTAGACACCTTTGCTAGTCACTGGGTCCTCAGAGAGCAGGGAACTGGGAATATTCAGTGCACCCAGGACCTGGCTGCGCAGTATTTACTTACGGAGAGAAGTCAGGATTTGATTAGCTGTAGCTAATTGGTGCTGATAGCAGGGGAAGATGCACTTTGCCAATACTGAATTGTTTCACAGCCCTTTCTACACTGGTGCAAGCAAAAGTCATTTCACCCCACTGTTACTGCTGGAACCAGGAGAAAAACTCATCCTGGGGTCCTGCGGAGAGCCAACGGCTCATACAGGAATGCAGAATTCTTTTCTCCTCACACAATTAGACTGTGCCCTAGTCTCTTTTTCTCATGTGTCCACCTCAGCCCATGTACCTGTGTGTATCCCCGCTCGCAGCTCCAGCCTGCCCATTGGCATGTGAGGGATCACAACCTGAGGAACTGCTGCCACCAGATCCAGGGACATTTTGGCAATCTCGTCCGCGTGTTTGGTGCCATTCCTCTCTGGCAGGCTGCTCGCTACCATGTAGGCATCACCAATGGTTTCCACCTGATGGGAATGGGCATGTCACTAAGTGGAAGGCACCAAGCTTTTCTTTGAAAAGGAGATAAAAATAAAATACATCCCAGCTGTCCAGCACTTGCCAAGCTGCGGTGTAGTCCCTGTGTGATGGCAGGTCTTGAATTTCATGGCTTTTGGACAGCTGGCATGGTGTATTTGATATTCAGTAGGGAACAAAGTAAAAAAGATTTCAGCAATTTCCAGATTCCTTGCCTGTGGGTTCGTACTCACCTTGTAAACATCGTAAGACTCGATCCTGCTGTCAAAGCAGATGTACAGATTGTTGAGCATCTCAGCAACTTGCAAGGGAGCACAGGAGGCAGCAATGCTTGTGAACCCTACGATGTCTGAGAAAAAGATGGTCACCTGTCACAGGGAGAAGGAACGCGTGACGCTCAGGTCTCCAGGCAACAGTGGTGAACCTTTGAAGAGTTTGGGGATTTGTGAAATTCTGAGCAGAGCAGCCTAAGGCACAGGCTGCACGTAGGACCGGTGTTGCAGAACTGAATAGACAGACTCCTAAATTAACAAGCTCTGGCTCTGAATTGTTCTCTATTGCTCTGACAGATAAAGTTACATTTATCTCCAAAGTTTATCATCTGCACTTCTCTGGATACCTTGTGGTAGATGGGAGACTGCAAGTCAAATGCTCTGAATCTTGTGAGCAGTCATCAACAGACTTCTAGAAGTTGGGCCTGATTTTTTTTGTTTTAAATTGATTTAAACTGTGGTAGAGATCAAAACTAGGTATCTGAACAAACTCCAGAATAAAAGCTCAGCTGCTGTCTCTGCTCTTATTGAGTCAGGAAATATTAACTGGATTATGTTTCTCTTCAAACAATGTTTCTTTGTCATGATCAAGTAATTTACAGAGAAATTAACTTAAAAACCCATCAAATTTATAAAAGAAAGAGCAACAGAAAGCATAATAACCAAATTGAGGAAGGGAAATGTGTGTTGTAGCTGTTGGCAATGAATGAAGTGTTTCTTCTTTGTGCTGCCTGAACTTTGTCAGTATTTAAACTACAATTGTTCTTTTATCCATCCTTGGTAATACCAATTAATCCAGAAGAGCCACCTTTTCACTCCCTGCCTTGGTTCAGCTACTTTTGATGTCATGACTGTTGTGAATTATAATTAATTGCGCAATTACAGGTTGCTGTTTCGATAATGACACCTACAAATTAAATGCAAACATTTATTATTGTGTTTCACAGCTGAAAGTAAGGGAGCGTTCAGGGGAAAAAGAGTGACTAGAATTGCAATTACTGTAGCATGAGGATTTGGGCTGTGGGCTCTGCAGCACAGCTGCTGAATTCAGCACTGACAGCAGCATACACGCTGTGAGGCAGAGCCGCAAGTAAATGGGCACCCGGCTAAACTCTGCCCTTGTTTTTATGTCGACAGGCTTCATTACAGTTACGCACTTGAGGCTACAGGAGCACCCATCCCTCATCCTTCTCTAAGTGCCATCCTCTCCTTTCAGTTATGTTTATAGAATCATACTGACAAGTACAGACAGGATTTGTTCTATGTTGTTTTTTCATTATTCTTCCCATTTTATAAGGGGGAAACTAATTTCTCACTCCTATGTACTCATGATCTAATGATGCTGCCTCGCTCTCATCAGTAGGCTCTTAAACCCCAAGATGACAGCTTACCAATAGAGGATCTTTGACATCGGAAGCTATGCTTCTGGAAATTTCAGCTCTTCTTCCTTCCCCATCAGCCTAAGTGCTTCACGGCACATTGCACAGCTCTCTCCAAAACCCATTGTGAGTATTTGAATTTCTGTCCACACTCAGCTGTGGGTGCAAAACCAGATTCCTCAAAGGGGTGGGCAAGGCAGGTGCCTTTTAGGTGAATACTTTTCTGTCCTTGGTGACAGCATCCTTTCCATTTGCTAACCTGATCGTAGTTTTCTGCCTCAACTTTCTGGCATTTCCTTAGCTGCTTGGCCACAGGTTTTGGCAACAATTGGTGTAAGAGGTCCTCAGCCAGCTGCCTCTCCCTTTTCAAGTTCTACATCTTTTCCTTGAGGCTCCTGGTGTAATTGTGTATCCAGTCTGTCGTTTGCTTGAAGGAGATCAGGATTATGGGGTACGTGAGGCAGGCTATCACTAACAGACTGACCTTAAGGCTCGTTGTGGATAGGATTTCTTTAGATTTCTTGATGAGCTTTTCCTGCCCCCTCTGCAGCAGGCAGCTCTGTACATAGTGCAGTTCCTTGACCAAGGCTTCAATGGACACAAGTTCCTCTGAGCCCAGGAATGGGATGAAAAAAGAGATTCTTTCATAGTGGGTGAAGTGAAGTGATAGATTGACGTTATCCATCCAGCACTTATGTACGCTCTCTGATGAGAAGATGGCATAGTTCAGAATGGCAAAAAATTGATGCAATGTTGTTTGAAGGCTTGTAGATGCTGGCATTAAATGAGCTTGAAGCAAGGCTTCTCTTATTCGAAGGATGAGTTTAAAAGCTACTATGTCTGTCCAGTCAGGATTGTATCTCACAGCTTTGAGGTCTTTGTGGGGACTGCTGAAACGCCCCAGCAGTTCAGAGATTGCTCTGGATAGCACCTGGCAGGCTTCGGTGTCCCCTGTGCTATTTAATCTTTGTCTCATGTCAATGATGTAAAATCTACAGATGGAGATGTTCTCCTTCTTGCACTGGCAGTTCTCACAGTACAGTTCTGCTTCGCTTGCCTTACAGAGGGAGTTGAAATTCCCCAACAGCTGAGCGTGAAATGATCTATTCCTCCTGTCTGCTGCTGGGAGCAGCCAGCTGTGCCTCTCTTCCTGCAGGAGATGGAGGAGGCGAACAGCCCAAAGCTTTTCACAAGAGGCAACTTCCTGAAGGGCTTTCCCTGTGTTTCTCCATCTTTCCAAGCTGTTGCTCAAATCAAAAGAAATGGCTCCAAGGAGGCTGCAGAGGGAGACTATGCAGGCTGTCAAAATCCTTTGAACTGTTTTTCTACCACCAGCATTGGAGGGGGGAGAACATCTAAAAAAAAAAAAAAAAAAAAAAAAAGTGGGGGTGTCTGATCCCTGGGGTGTTTCTTGCAGCTCCTGAAAACATAACTGGAGCTAGCAGTGATATTCAACAATTCACATGTGTTCTGAAACAAAATACAGGGATCATGCATTAGCTGAATGTTCTTGAAAGACACGTTTTATTATATTTTGTTTCACCTGACATTTTGTTTTAAAAGAAAAGCTGTACTAAAGAGGCTGTTTCCATGACACACTCAGAGCTGCAAAAGCACATGAATGGATTCTTACGGTTTTTCTTTGTGTATTAAGACTGATAAAATAATGTGCTGTAGGTTTTATCCTCTGTGGTACTTCTATGCAAATCTTAAAGAAGCCCATGAAAAGATGGGTTACTTATTTCAGTGATCACAAATAGGCACTGTTGAGTTTTTTTAATATAACCTCTAGAATTTGTTCTCAATAGGAATTTCCAGATTATTAGTAATTTGTGTTGATATGTTCAAATGAGCTCAGATGTCTCCACAATATTGTCTAAATATTTCAAAAGGAAAATGAATCAAATTTGTTTTCAGTTTTTACAGGAGCATATACATATCCAATTTTTACTGTTTGAGCTTCATGATTACCTTTTCTGTCCTCTTCCATGCTGCACATAACTGACATCATGCTCCATACAGCAAAGTAGCGTCTAACGATTTTCATTTTCAGAACTATTAATCAATCATTTACAATCTTACATTAATGATACTCATGAAAGCAACTCAGGCTGTTATGCCGAAGCTGGTGACTCCTGAATAACTGGGCATCCCTTATTTCCACTGACAGAGAACAGACCAGGGGACTGGCTTGGTGATCAGTCCATTCAGCTCAGTCCTTTTTTTTTTTTTTTTTCCTTCTCCTCTGCACAGTAGAGGTGATTGAAAAAAAGCCTTCTTCAGATCCCCTGCTGTTTCAGATAGGTGAAATTACATTTTTAATAAGATAAATAAAACCCCAGTAAAGCCTGCTGTTTCTCAGCAGAGGCTGATAGGCAAAACGAGTTCCCGCTGGGCTCTTTGCAGAGGAATGGTGGTCAGTGTTTGTAAAACAGAAGAAAAGTAATAAAAGTACAGTCCCCAAAGATGATAAACAGCCCTGTTTTCTCATATTTATTTAATACAATTTCTGTTTAATATATATATGTATATTTATTTTCAATCAAAATGTAACAACCGCAGTGTCTGACTGAAAGCAACTGCAAGCCTAGAATTTCTCTCTGAACCCAGATGCATTTCTGTTCTCACAACAAATTTCCCATTTTTTTTCCTTACTCTATCTACTGCTTACCATTGAGTCACTTGTCCTCCTTTCTTAATGAAACATTTTACTCTTGAATCCACCTACCTATGTCCCAGGAGGGAGAAGAAAAACATGACCAAAATCCCCCTTGCTTTTATACTGCCTGCCTTTTGTTACAATGAAAGAAACAGAAATAGGGGCTTTAATTTAGTACCAGGCTAAAAGGTTGTGATTCTGCTTGTGCTTTGCAAAAAATCCCTGTTTGTGTCTGTGTGTCAGCCAACAGTGCCAGTTCAGAGGTCTTCACCTGGCGTCTGAATGACTTAAAAACGAGCAACGGGGATGTGAAGGGGAGAGGTCTACAGCCGTGCTGCCGGCACTCACTGCTGGATTTTCCCCTTCCCCTTGCTAGGTCCCAAGATCGCGGGGTGTTACAAACCTCTCTGCAAAAGTATTTTGCGGCACTCCCACACTCACCTGCATGGACCCGCTTGCACCCGTGCTGCCTTCCCGCTGGGCATTGCCACTGCTGGCTGCGGTGAGTCCCACTCGCAGACTCAGGGGTCCCGGCAGCTGCCTGCCCGCTGCCTTCAGCCCTGCTGGCGCCTCGCTTTCCCACCCCCTACCCCCGCAGTTGTTCCTGTGGTTCTCAAACTCTTCCCGCTGCCCAGCCTCTTCCCAGCAGGCTCACATCTTCCCCCAGGTGAGGGTAGCAAGCTCCAACCCAGGGCAGGGGAAAGGCTGGAAAAGGTCTCCAGCATTATCCCTAAATACGGGCTCCGATCCCGACAATACACAGGAAGATGTGACAAAACACGTTTCTTTCATGTTGCAAAAAATAGTGTTTATTGCAGTATGGTTAGGTATGATACTTGTGGTGTTAAAAGCGTAATTTCCCAGCTCTTTGTGATCAAAGGTGGGATGATTATGACTTTTTTCAAACTTTTTTCCTTCTTGGCATCTATCATCCAGTTCTCTTTGGATTAGTAGCTTGCCATAACCTAAAAAACGTAAAACAAGTGAAAAATTGGATCATGAGACTCAGAAATTTGTGAATAGTGTATGTTGCATCCAAGATGCAGGATTTAAGTAACTGAAATAAGATTTTTGCTTCTCAGTCACTTTTTAGATTAAGGTTTATATTATTTTTTTTTTTTTAAATTGATGTTTCAGACTTGAGCAGCATGCACTGCCTTCTAGGATGCAACTGCAACAGTCAGTGTTGTTGAGGAATACAAATCTGAGTAATCACTTCTGAAGTCATACCAGTAAAATCTTTAATGACTATAAATACAGCTTTAATATAAAGGGAGAAAGTACGGCTGAACATCGAGACTTATTTAAAAGTGAAAATAATTTGGATCACTTTTTAAGAAGAGGATGCTTTATTTTTGCGGCAGAGACTGCTTTTACCCTGGTCAGGGCTTGTCTACAGAGGTTACTTGTATGTAAAGTAGTATTTGAATCAAAATCTCAATCAGAGAGAACCTCAGAAATAGCCGAGAGTCGGTATTCTCGAGCAGCAATACCTAGAACCTTACCTGCTGGATCCAGCTGTTGAAGGCAGAGACCCGAGTGAAGACAGAAGGCTTGCGATAATAGTTGCAGCCAAGACTAGAGCCAAAGCTGACGATCCCGTGCACTTCCCAGCTGCCGTTAGCGCCTTGGCAGTTCAGCGGGCCACCAGAGTCCCCCTGGAAGGAAGGAAGGAATAGCCATAGGGTGAATAGCTCCTTGCTTTTTTTTTTTTAAGCTTTCCTTCCCTTCAGTCCCGTTTGTGTCTGAAACCAAGCCCCAAGAGCGGTGTTCTCTGGACTCACATTACAACTGGAGGTGATTCCATCCCCACCAGCGCAAATCATGGAGGTTTTCACTGAGCTGCCCCACCAGGTGAGCTGGGAACAAGTTGCATAATCCACCACCAGCAAGAGGCCTTGTTGCAGGTCATCTGCAGCAGCTCCATTTGCTGAGAGGGAACAGAAACAGAGGAGTCATGGTACCTGCTGGCACTGAAGACAGAAAAAAACTGCATTGTTCAGTTTCTCCCAGGATCTGGAGACTATCCCTCCAGATAAGCTCCGTATGGGCTTTATTAAAGGAGAAGCTGTATAATCCATTCCTTAGCTCCATTCTTTTATATTAAAAAAAAAAAAGGCCCTTAATTTACCAATAATTTGCATCCCATTTAAAAATGTCTCATTGTTAGAGAAATAAAAAGCTGCTCTTTGTTCAGGAGTTTGCAATTTACTTATCATTCTAGGAATTGCCTCTTGAGCCCAGCTGACACTTCTGCGGAAGTCTCTGAGATTTTCTTCACTTTACATCTATTCCCTTTTGCGTCTCTTCAGTGGCGTACGTTAGGATTAGCAAATTCCCCAGCCTGCACGCTGTGTGTATTTCTGTTACAATAGCATCCACAGGCTTAGTAGAGGGCCCTCTGGTGCTCTACTAGCCCCATTACAAACAAAATAAACTTGCAAGGCAGGGGAAAATCACGCTGTGTGAGTGCAGCGGGGCCTGATAGAACTGCCTCCCTCCATTGAGGGTGATGGGATGCTGAGCACCATCAACAGCCTCTTCCCAGTCAATCCTAAAGAAGAAGGCAGTACTGAAAGATTTTGTTCCCCAATTTTGCAAATGTCCGAGTACGTACTCTGCAGTCTTCCCCATCCCGTCACGTAGCAGGCAGTGTTGGATGGCAGGATGGTTCCTGCGCGGGGGAGGCAGGCCAGCCCAATGTGTTCACTTAGGGTGACGTGTCGATTGAGTTTGATCAAAGCGATGTCGTACCTGCGGTCACATGCACACATTTGAGAGCGGGGAAGACAAAGGGAAGGGGTGAAGAGGTTTGCAAACAGATGAAGAGACAGCAGCATGAATACTCATCAGTTACACAGCACTTGGCCTGGTCAGAAGAGATGCGGGGGAGCAAGGAGGCCAGGACCTGGGCAGTAAAGGTTCCTTCACCCTGAACGCAATGGGGGAAGCCAAGACTATTTCCTGCAGAACTTTCCTGCTGGCAGATTTATGGAAATTGCCTTTTATAGGTTCTTTTCACCAAAGCCAAGCATGTGTTAGGACTAACTCCAAGGACCTGGAAACTGAGGGGATTTCTTTGCTAATGCCCTTAACCTGCAGCAGGCCATAGGAGTCCTTCGGCAACGAAGATATTAATACCATTGACCCATAATACTGTTTGTTATTGCAGTTCATAGGAGGGCTTCAAAGAGTGTTGTATAAATTAATTCATTCCTTCCACTCTACAAAAGAAATCATTGCATAGAGCAGCTTCCCACCTAAGCATGAAAATGCAAAAGGGATTCCGAAAACACAAGAACCAATTAATATTGAAAGTTCTTTATCTTCTCTTGAGGGGGAAAGGTACAAACTGGAGACTCAACTCTCATCTATGACCAAATATGTAGAAGTACCACTGTAACCTGTAACAGGAGACTCCAAACATTTATCCATTTAGCTGCCACAGCTCAGGGAGGGTGGGATTCAGGCACTTTGATTTTTGCGCAGCATCTAATAACTGAAAAAAAACTTGCCACCAACTTACCCGTTTGCAATTTTGTTTGAATTCCATTTCTCATGGACAATGATTTTTTCTGGAGAAACTGCAATCGATCCTGCTTCCGCAGTTTTTAGGTTGTATTTTCCAAGAAATACTCGATATGTCCTAGAAGAACTGGGCAAGAAAAGCACTAACACTCAGTCATGGAGCTGCTGGCTTGCTGCTTAGGCATCTGCGTCTTTGCTGCCCGAGATATTTGGTAAGAATATCCTTAAGACTGTAATCTCGCATTGCATGCATGATTTGTCTGGAGTTGAGACAATGTCTGACTGATTTGCTAAGGACAAAGCATTATGTGCTAGGATTAATAATCATTTCATCTCTAAGCTGTCCTGTTTACTCCTGCTTAAGGCTTCATTAACAAATTCAAGATGCCTCCAGTCTTTGCAGGATTCAGCTCATGTTCTTCAATGAAATAAACAATTTGCACTGCTTTTTTGACAGCGATAAACAGCTTCACTGATAAACAGCTGTGTGATAAATATAATATGTAGGCTTTATAATAATAACATGCAGCCAATCCTTCTTATTTCATATTATGATATTTTCTACAACTTAATGTTACAATAACCAAGAACTGTATGTACGTATTCAAGGACAGGCGCTACCAAACCAAAACAGCGTTGTCTTTGTGGAAACAGTTTCGATGACGAAAGGGCATAGCTGTACCTGATCATTTGTGCTCTACTGCCCCATAATAGGAAGAGCTTGCCGAAAATGGTGAATTACCTGATGCAGTGTGCAGCTGTCAGCACCCAGTTGGTTGCAATGAGGGTTCCTCCACAGGTGTGATACCATTGGCCACCTGAAGTGTATTGGAGGGAGGCCTAGGATCAACGTATCAAGTAAGGTTCAGGTTTTTGCTTACTGATTTTTCATTATTGCACTTGATTTCTGCACCCACAACACGACTTGTTGCTGGAAGATGGTGAGAGGCTTTTTAAGCAACAAGCATCCAACTCCTGGCCACGGAAAAGGTTTCCCTCCTTCCTTATCCTTTCCCTCATTCCCTAAAAATGTTGTTTCTTCCAAATTTCTTGCTAAGACTGGCCCCACTAGAGCATTTCATTTGCTTCAGAAATGCATCTACAACTGTGCTGCAGTAGGCATTGTATGCTCCACTGACTTTCACAGTTGTCTTGCTTAAATATGGATGGTGCCCAAGCCAACTGACCGAACATGAAAGCCTGCATAACCAGCAAGAGGCGGCACCTTCAGGGTTTTCCTAAAAGGACTGGAAACTTTGGGATTGATCAGAATGTAATATTCTAAGACATGACAGGCAAGATGCATCAAATGAAACAGAAGACCTGGTTTTGTTTGGCGATGTTGCAGGGAAAGCAGAGCGTGACTCACCTGCCAGGGCCAGCTGTATGGCCTCGCATCTTGCCCTCCAACAACTCTAGACACAGCAGGTGGGTAGGCAGGATCCCCGCAGCCAAAGGCTAGAAGACATACAAAATAGGATGTGTGTTTTAAAAGTAGAAGGCTTAAAAAAATGTCTGGAAGAGGTGTTTTTTGTTTGGTTTTTTTTTTTTTTTCCTAAATGTAGCCCGTGTTTGTACAAAACATTGCAAGGTACAAATATAGGCTGTGGTTTAATGTGATACAAGCAAAGACAGAGCCATCAGTCAGAACTGACCAATGTTATGTAAAGCCTGTTTGGTTCCATTTTTCTGACAGACAACCAAATCAAGTTGGATTAACCAAGTTCCCATGTGTCAGCTGAGATGCAGCTCTTAGACAATGCAACAATTTGATGTGCATTAACTGTATTTCAGTGAATTCAAGCTAAGTAAAATAACTTTGAATTTGCTAAAGGCTGAGAGCAGTAATGCTGATCGAGCCCGTATCGTCAGAACAGAATACCACAGCACCTAGTTACTGTTTTGAGAGAACTTTTTAATTAACTACCTGTGCTGTATCTCTTTCTGCTTTGTTGCAGAATGTCTAATTTCCCTAAAAAAAGGAAGTTTTAAATTATTTTTTTCTTTAAAACTAATGCTGAAATTGGGTACGTACCTGCAGCAACCAGAGTGAACACAGCAAAGAGGACTCCGAGCATGATGCCGGTTAGCTGTATTCTGCAGGCTCTGCTCTGCAAGCCATTTTATATGTTATCGTTTATCTCTGGGACAGTGCTATTCTGATACCAGCGGAAAATTTGTGCAACTGTGGGATAATTTTTTATATGCACAAGTGCCTAAAATAAACCAGTTTAGATAGACCTTCGATCCAAAGAACTTGGTTAAATAAAATTCCGGCTGAGTTGCATATGATCTGTAGCAGCTGTTTGTTTTCCCATTGCCTTAGAAGTTCATCACAAACGTGTTTTCAGAAGGAATTTGTTAAATGAATTATTCTAACAGTTGATGGTACGTCAGCAGTAACAGCGTCTGATATATTCAGACAGTGATAGATTCAGACACATCAGCGAGGCTGGAGTAGACAGTCACTGGAGGCCCCCTTCCAACCACAATTATTGTATGATTCTGTGATTGTTTGAAATTTTATTTTGATCTGGTTTGTTTTGTGACTGAATGGCAACTACCACTTTGTACTGACTGAAAACCTGTATCTTCTTTTCTAGATAAAGTTGCATGTGTTTTAGCATGCCGTATGTCTTCAATCAAACAAACTGCAATCACTTTGAAGTGAAAGATGTTTCAAGCAATATAAAGAACCAGCTGTCCATGATGACAGAGAAGCACTGCTGTAGCACGGTGAGCCAGACTTCATTTCTTTCCCGTTTACCTTTGTTACACCAGTAGCACATCCCTGGAAGAGGACAGGGTTCCTGTTGCACTGTAAATGAGCATTTTTACACCCCAAATCAGCATGCTGACCTGTGGTATAACGCAGTGTGAGCTTGTTAAAAACAGTAAACTGTTTTCACCAATAGGACCAACAAGGCAAAAGCAGACCTGGTTTCAGAAAAGCTGAATTCAGTCTGTTGTTTAATGTCAGTATTAACAAGCAGCAAAATCTGATTTTCATAGCTTCCATTCAGCAGTAGGTACTGATTTGGATGAAAGATGCTTGGAGCACACATGTGGAAGCACAAATATATAATGTTTTGCTGTTTGGTCTGCTGCTCAAGAATGTATTATCCTCCCCAAACAATAGCACTTGAGAAAGCTGCATTCTGAATTTCAAATGGAATCAATCAAACTCTGTTCTGGCATCTTGTATTTATTATCTGACAACAGCATAAATCAAGACTGACTGCAGAATGGAGATTCTAAAAAAAAATTCCATGAATTAGCTGGCTCTCTTCTTAGTGTCTGAATTTCCAAGCTAAACAACATACTATGCTTTTCCGTTTAACTTCCATGCCACTGTCATTTTCATTGAATACCAATTAAAAATTAAGTATAAGTTTTGGATGTTCAGTTACTGTTTTCAACTTTCCTGTTTTATGCGTGTGCCTGTAAACATGAATTTTGTTTAGTTTTTAAAGCATCTCTGCAATCATTTCACAAATAACCTTCTGCTATCATGCACACTGTAAACAGAGAAATCCTTTCTTTCTCCCTTTCTTCTTTGTAAAGGAATTCTGAAAAGGTTCTTTTGTTACATGGGGGAAGGCTCATAAGAATCATCATATTTTTAATGTAAAACACTCTCAAAGCTAATTTTTTCTAATTCCACTCCTGCTTTACGTAACATTTGCTTATCCATCTCTTCCAGGTCTAGTCTAAATAGGCTGAAGTTATCTTCCTTGGACTCGGTTGGCATCACCCTGTTGGCAATTCTGCAAGTGAACATCAAAAGGCTCCGCCTGCAGCTGATACCACGGTGGCCTGGAAACAGCTCCTTGGAAGCTCTTATCTTCATGCCAGATGTTTCACAGAAACTAAGCAGATCACTGAACTTCAGTAAGAAAGAGCAGGAACTTCTGGTATGTTCTGTTAAAGCATAACAGCAAATATATTTTTAAATACACCATGTACTTGGTGTATAGTCTATAGTGTACAGGTGTAATGTAAGGCTGCTCTTGTTTTAACTGGGTGGGGAGTAAGGGAAGGAAAGAATACAGACAACAAACAAAACCCAAAACACACGCACACAAAAAAAACCACCACCAAAAAAACCCCACCACAATTTGGTGATCAGATTAGACTGAAAGATATTTATTTAGAAACAACAGCTTTGGTATTTTAAAACCAAAAAACCTTTAAATCACTAGAAAGTGGGATGTCTCCCCCCATAGCCAAAACAAATCAATGCACAAAGTCTCAGTATGCTTAAAATAGGAAACCTGCAGATCAGTATTTCCAAGTGTAAATCCAGAAAACAATTGCATTAAATTGGTTTTGCACTCTACAATCATAAAGGCTGAAAAACCTGTTACCAGCACTTAAGATATCTACAGTTCAATTGACTGACTTGTTACTGAAGTGGAGGTAAAATTATTAACATTCTCCCTCCCCACCCCCCCTCCAAAGCAATAAATTAAAAAAATGTCTACCAGAAAGGAAGTTACACTAAAGTTTTCTAGTTAAGTTAATTCTCTGAAGGGAACCATATTTCTTTATTTACCTGTAAAATTAAAAAACAAATCAAAATATCAAAGGACTTGTATATCTTCAAGTATTTTCACCAAATGGATTACTCTTAGGGAACTGAACATCTTACAAGGAAAAAGAAACATCTGTTACACAAGCTTCTGGGATAAACTCTTGAATAACCACACCTTCCAAGTCTTGGGTTCCTCTCTTAACAAGGCACAAAAGGATTGCTGCTTTCAAAAGGTCCTTGTTCTCAGCTGGAAAATTGTCAGATGTCTTGTGCAAATGGAGTCTGAAAGCAGGACTAAGTCCACTTGGACACTGGGATGTTCCCATTCAATTAATGAAACAGGGTGTTATTTCAACACCATTCATCTTGCTTACTGCTACAGAGATTTCGAGCTTCAGCTGGCTTCCACTTCATCCCTGTTTCTGAAATCAAGTTCTGCACCATATTCATTGTAAGTAGGTCCGATTAAGATGAGGCAACAGCTTTGTTTGCTGTACACTGCAAGGCTCTGTACAGTGTCGAGAAGGAAGAGGAGTTACATCAGCCCTGGTGTGTAGCTGTGAAGCTTCTCGGCATTTCAGAGAATAGTGTCAGGGACAGTTACCTGTGGTAATGGTTAAGTCATTCTGTAAAAGGCAGAAGGGAAGTCTTGTAGATGACAAAGGCAACTAGATAAGACAGCAGTGAAAAAAAGGACATAATTTTATAATTTAAAGGACACATTTCAGGATGCATGACAGGGTGCAGCTGTATGCACAAGAATTGAAATTACTTCCTGACCACTTCCTCCTTTTGCACTGAGGTTTTGATCATGATCATCGGCTTACAACAGCAGTTGTCTTTGATATAAATATCTCTTCTACCTCTTCCTAGGTTAGTTTGTCTAGCTACAAGCACCTTCCACTCTCACTCCTTCAACAGATGCCAGGTATCCAGACCTGCTTGGGCTCAGGCCTGATCTCCAGTGCTCAGCATTACAAAGCCAGTGAGCTGAGAGGGAAATTGCCAACTGACTTGTGTGTTTTTTAAACACAAGCTACATTTAACCTGTTCAACCCTAAGGAGGGATGCTTCTGAAGAATGTGGCTAGCTCACACAGTCTTTCATTTCCACTCTGTATCAAACCACAACCAGAAAGCACCAGTACTAAGAACAGAAACTGCCATCTATTCTGGGCTACGTTTTTACTAGCAACTTTTCTAAGGCAACTCAAAACAAGAATTTCAAATCCCAAAGTGAGATGCAGTAGAGCTTGAAGTCAGAACCTCCAACTCACAGTAAAAAGCACTCAGTACATTTATTAACACAGCTATGTATGTTGTCTGAACGGGAGAAACACCAGCTCTGCACTTTCCCAAAATTATGGTGGTAAAGGTGGTTTGATGGAGGACTGCACAGTGTCTAGAAATCTATGAACATTTACCAGCAGTCCCAACAAGTCAGCACCTTGACCTAAGAACACAAGCTTGCACTTGCGTGTTCTTGCGTGACACATCACACATTTAAAGCAGACAGACAAGTGTGCACACCTCCCACACAGCAGTAAAGTACAGCAGCCCTCTCACAAGCATTCCGGTACTGTGGAACAAGAACCATCATCTCGTGACAGCTGCAACTGTTGGCTTAAAACCAAGCAATGTCATCAGTGTGTGGAAAAAGGACAGAAAAGCTGTGTCTGCCTTGGTCTGCAGCCTTACAGGTGTTTAAGAAAGACAAATGATGGATTTATCTTTTTAATGTTTGTGAGCCCTACTGCTCCGATCCCTGCCCTAATCCTGCAAGAAGAGGTCACAGATCACTTGTTGCAAGAAAATCCTCACAGTCCAAGCCAGAACCTCCCTAGGCACAGCTGACAGACAATCAGGTTGACAACACTCGGAGGACAGCAGCCAAAAGCACCAGCCTTATACCTTACTCCTGAAGAGTGGCTTGGCTCCTGGCCCACAATATTCATTGTAGATGAGTTTGAACAGAAACAAGTGAAAGAATGTGATTAAGGAGGCCACGCTGAACCAGAACAGGAAGGGTAAGCCCGGGTATTGCTTGGCCATGTGTTCCTCGTGAGCCAGAATAGCTTTGAGATGGAGCGTGTGCCTCAGGTCCTGCAAGTGGATCAAATCTGTCGATATATAAAGCAGTGGCGTGATGGGTTGAGTCACCATGACAGGGAACGTATGACCCCGTGCCTCTGAGGTCAGCTCCACAGGCTCATTCATACAGCCTGCCTCACATGCATACAGTCTAACGGGCTTGTCTTGGAATTTCACAGACACATGCAGGAAGGGCTTTCCTTCAGCATCCAGCAGAACAGCCAGATTAATCAAGTCCTTATTGTAATGGATCCCACGTAAGGAATAGCTGTTATGAAGTACATCAGGGTCAGCCTGAAACTGCAGATGGTTTTCTGTGAACTGCAGGCCCCCAAAACTAAGCACCATTCCCTGCATAAGTCCATGGACTCCAGCTGCCACAAGACCCTTGCATCCCCGTTTCTGGAGAGTTAGCTTCCACAGGTCCGAGAGCTGCAAGATCTGGGTGACGCTG